AGATCTCTGACGACCCAGCAGCTCGGTGTTGCGATTTCGCACACCATTTTGCAGGCAAGGTTGCCCAGATATGTCTTGAGCTCCAATTTCATCGCAGTGCCAGAGGAGGTGACTGAGGCATCTGCTTGTCCAATTTTGTGGGATTCCTTTCGGCTTGTTCTTCCTGAGACCGTGGAGGAGGTTCTTGGTGCTGTGAGGGCGACCACTTCGGCTCTAGACCCTTGCCCATCCTGGCTCATTAAATCTGCCAAGAAGGGGTTGGTTGATTGGTTTGTGTTGATCATTAATGCATCGTTGGAGCAAGGGATTTTTCCATCTAACTTGGAACAGGCTGTGGTTCGTCCACTCCTAAAAAAGTCGTCCCTTGACTCTATGGTGCTGAACAATTACAGACCAATCTCCAACCTTCCTTTTTTGGGTAAGGTGCTGGAGCGGGTGGTCGCCCTCCAGCTCCAGGGCTTCCTGGATGACATCAATTACCTGGATCGGGCACAGTCTGGTTTCAGGCCTGGTCATGGCACCGAGACAGCCTTGGTCGCCTTGGTGGATGACCTCCGTAGAGGACTGGACAGGGGGAGTGTAACCCTGCTGGTCCTCTTGGAGATCTCAGCGGCTTTCGATACCATCGATCATGGTATCCTTCTGGGTTGGCTCTCTGGGATGGGTCTTGGGGGCACGGTTCTGTCGTGGCTCCGGTCCTTCCTGTAGGGACGAAACCCAGATGGTGAAGATGGGAGATGCCTGCTCGGAGCCCTGGCCTTTGACCTGTGGGGTCCCGCAAGGCTCTATTTTATCTCCCATGCTTTTTAACATCTACATGAAACCGCTGGGAGAGGTCATCCGGAGTTTTGGAGTTGGGTGCCATCTCTACGCAGATGACGCACAACTCTACTACTCTTTTCCACCTAATTCCAAGGAGGCCTCTCGGGTGCTAGACGAGTGCCTGGCCGCTGTGTCCATCTGGATGAGGACGAACAAGCTGAAGATCAATCCCAACAAGACAGAGGTCCTCCTGGTCGATCGCAAACCAGACTGGGGTATAGGGTGGCAACCTGTGTTGGACGGGGCTACACTCCCCCTGAAGCCACAGGTACGCAGCTTGGGAGTCCTCCTGGACTCATCGCTCACGCTTGAGGCTCAGGCATCGGTGGTGGCCGGGAGGGCTTTT